TTTACAATGTTTCTTTGAGAATGAGTTGAACCTAACCTCTACTCTATATAGAGATATATATCACGACCAAAGTATACACACGAAAAAAAAATCAACTAATTTTTGATACTTTAATCGAAATAAATTCTTCAAACACCCTTTATTCTCACAAAATGTGGATAATGGCAATTAAAATTCAAAAACTCTTACCTTTGAAGTATTAAAAAAAATTAAACAAAAATCGCGACCAATTACACAATCAGTATGAAATATGCTTCTCTTTCCATTGGTTAATTGTTTATGACAGCGTACGTAATATGTCAACATTAATCTGTTGGCATTCTGCAAAAAGGCACTCACCAATTTGCGTCTCTGAGGTTGGCACCATTAGAATTATCAATTCTGAATAAAAGGGGAATCAATTCATATTTATTTTACTTTATTGGAATCTTTCTCTTTTATTCGAAAATTTTATTTTATTTTATCCCAATTTATTATTTTCAAATAGTAATTGCGGTCGTTATGCAATGTTTTTATTCCGATCAAATTTGATTTGTTTATATTCCGACCTTTAAGGTCCATTTTCCAAGGCGGCGATTGCAATCGTCCACGATTTTTTTCAAATCGGGCGTCAAAAAAACCACAAATAATAAATCGTTCACGATTTTGGCGTCAAAAAAACCATTGATCTCAATCGTTAACGATTTTGGCCAACGATTGGAAATTGTACACGATTGTAATCGCCGCCTTGGAAAATGGACCTTAAGGTCTTTAAATGAGTTGATTTTATTCAATAATTTTTATTGTCGTAAATAAAGGCTTAAAAGAGTAATTTTGTGTACTTTTACTGGTGACCGTAAACATTTTCTAGAACAAATGAGTGCAAAGAACAGGTAATGTTCTGAGTGTTGGCATTTTTCTAACTCCAAAAACTATTAAAAAGGTATTTGCTATGTAAAAGATTGCTGTAAATATTTTCGTCTCCCAAATAAAAATCCATCAACTATTTAATTTTCAATGTTTATTTTATATTTTTCTTAAAATTATTTCCTTGTTCTTGTTCGTGATGTTGTTTTCCTTCGAATTTATAAAATATAAGTTTTAATTTGTTTCCGCTGGCAAAGTTTGTCGTTCAATTTTCACAGTTCCGAAACAACGTTCAACTATAAACCATTCGGTGTCGATGTGCTTCCGAATCGTTTCCAAATCAGTATCCATAGCCGGTGTAAAGACGAATGTATCAAGTGATTTGCATTTCTTCAACATCTCTTCAATTTGATGGACGGAAAATTGGCATCCATGCATATCGATTTTTTTCAACAATTTCATCGCATCATGAAATTTTGAATCATTCCCTCCATAGAACGGATAAAAATTTGGATAAACCCAATTGCTCAAATTTAATTTGATTAACGATCTGCGATGTGTTTTAAGGAAATGTATGAAATTGGTGTCGATTCTGATTTGGCATGCTTTTATCGAAAGTGTATCCAATTGATTGAAGACGAATGGAATTTTTGGTAACGGATCGCAAAACTCATCAACAAAATGTATTTTGAATGTTTTTAATGCATTCAATTGGATCACATCATTGGTATTGAAAAATGTCCGCTTTCTACAATCGATTGAAAGACTTTCCAATGATTGCAGGTGACTACGTATGGAGCTGAAATAATTTGCGGTGATGTTGTAACCAGAAACGCTCAGACTTCGCAATTGTGGATTCATCTGTAACATATTTTCAACGTTTTTCAATCCAGTTTCGGTGAACGAACCACGGTTTAAACGGATTTTCAAGTGCTGCAAGTGTGATAAATGATGTCCAATGCGGCAGCTATTTATGGCTGTCGATTCAATAAATTCCAAGCGCTGTACATTTGGGCACCAAGTCTTTAAATCATCCATCGCCTCCAGTGTTTTACAATTCAAATCTTGGAATCGAACGATTTCGATGTTTGGAAATGAGTTTTTTAAATCCTTTGGATACCAGTTTATGTTAATTTCAGTCAAAGACGTGAAACAGTAGTTGTTGATGTATCGATTAACTTTGCATTGAAATCGTTCGTCGCAATGATAAACGCTTAGATTTGAAATTAAGTGGCCAAAGCAACGCAGAAGCTTCAAACCAATTGATCCATCGTGAATGGAAATGGTACAGTCACCTGTTCCACACTTCAACATATTGTTTTTATATGTTACTTTGAATAATTCATTAATACGGACAAATTGGCTGTTTATATCCACTTTTACTCCACGAAAATGACTGGCAAAGGCCAAATTGAGCGCATTTTTAAAACATTTACTGGAATCGGCCATATTTAATAGGTCAATGAACTCCAATTTCTTGAAAATATGCTCAAGACAATTGTCGTTAATAGACGTGATGCGTAGTGTTGGCACGGTTTCAGGCGGATTGTGATTACATCGTTTTTCTTGCGGCATTCGGTCGGTGTCTTTTTCCTGTCTTCGGCGTTTTCGGCCCATTTTCGCTTGTAAAATTGAGTTTCCGCACAACAACCTTTTTTTACAACAAAAAGATGTTAGTTTTTGAATTTTTTCTATAGTGAATCAATTCTTTTATATTAAATTCAATTTTTAGTGGTGATAAATACCTTTTTTTTCACTTCGCACAGAATTTTCACAGTCTTTGTACTTTTACAAACAAAAAATTGTTTAAGAAACTTTGATGTTCACTCCTTCGTTGTCACGGATAGAATAAAATTCCCAAGTCAACTGACTCTCATCGTTTTGACGTTGTTACGCTCTATGCAACTGTCTTAGTGCCGAATTTGCTTTATGTTAAGGTATGCGTTGACAGATGTTTTTGGCACGATTCAACGATGTATGCATTTTACAATGTATGTATTTTACAAAAAAAAAGGCGTTCTATTTGGTGTTTTGTAGTTTATTTTACAGGAAAAGAACGTATCAGACTTTTAGACGATTTAATTTTGTCATTTAAGGCATTTAAATCGTAATGAGGTCCCAGAAA